ATGACGTTATTTATACCGGATGATACCGGATCGCGTTATTTCGGGGATCGAACCAGCACGCAAGCTCATCTCAACAGCGGGACAATCAAACGACGATGTTTCCGAGAGTCCAAACAACATGCTGTCTACCGATTTTCTTATTTTCTGAAACTACAAGAACTTGAAAATATAACCTTGAACTACGAGATCTTTGATGTCTTTGAAGTCATGGACTACCGTTTTAACACGCTGAAATTCTAGAAATAACTAGATCGAAAATTAGTCGTTTAGAATGCCATGACATTTCGTAAAGTTCAGGTTGTCGATTTTACGATGGATGCATTTCCTGGATTTCGACAGGTTTAGTCTAGAGGAGAGTCTAGGCTTGGTCAAAGGTTTGTAAACATTCTGTTTAAACGGTTTAGTGTAATCAAAGCAGTAAAGGTTAAGCTTTATTGGTGTTGTTTCATCTTTGCAGTCTTCTGTGGCAAGTTTATGTCAAATGTGTAGTCTAGGTATTCATAGATTTTGATTTTTGGTAAATAAATTTCAATCGTGGGGATGATGGCGCCATAATTCCATGCGAGATGATTCAACGCATTGTATTTCTACGCATTGTGATTTTACGCGCCATAATTCCACATGCTGGAATCCCACGCGTTGTAATTCCACGCGTCGCAATCCCACGCGTTGGAATTCCACGCGTCGCTATCTCACACGTTGTAATTCCACGTGCCGTAATTCTACGCGTTGGAACTCCACGCGCTATAATTCCACGCGCTGGAACTCCACGCGCTGTAATTCCATGCGCTAGAACTCCACGCGCTGTAACTCCACGCGCTGGAACTCCACGCGCTGGAACTCCACGCGCTGGAATTCCACGCGCTGGAACTCCACGCGTTGTAATTCCACGCGCTGGAACTCCACGCGCTGGAACTCCATGCGCTGGAACTCCACGTGCTGGAACTCCACGCGTAGTAATTCCACGCGCTGGAACTCCACGCGCAGTAATTCCACGCGCTGGAACTCCACGTGTAGTAATTCCCCGCGCTGGAATTCCACGCGTTGTAATTCCACGCGCTGGAACTCCACGCCTTCGAACTCCACGCGCTGGAACTCCACGCGCTGGAACTCTACGCGCTGGAACTCCACGCGCTGTAATTCAACGCGTCGTGATTCCAAACGCCATAATTCCACGGATTGCAATTCAACGCGTCGTGATCTCACAAGCCATAATTCCACGCATCGTAATTCTACGCACGGTGATTCCACGCGCCATAATTCCATGTACCCTAATTCAACGCGTTATAACTCTACACATCGTAATTCCATGCACCGTAATTCCACGCTCTGTAACTCAACACGTCGTAATTCCACCCATCGTGATTCCACATACCATATTCTTACAAGCCGTAATTCAACGCGTTGTAATTTCGTTCCAAGCTACGTACGTGATAATTCCACACTTTATAATTTAACTCGTTAACTTTGCCATAACTCCACGCGCCATAATTCAACTCGTCGTTAGCTCAGCTGTAATTCAGCACGCTGTAACTCACTGGATGGTAATATAACCCGCGGCGATACTAATTTACACCGTACGGCAGTAATACCACGCTGTAATCCATGTAGTAACTTGTTGTGATTCAACTCGTAACTCACCGTAACTCAACCCCTCAGCAATACTCCATAGCAAGGATAGATACTTCTCTACCATAATTCAATGCGTGGCAATCTATCACATGGCGATATATCCCGAGGCGATACCACATATCCTTTGCTATAAATTCTGAAATCTCTATTCATCAAGTATCCGGAAGTATTTGCAAGCATAACAGACGTTCCAGCGACCGTAGAAGACACTCGAAGCTCACCGTAACGTAAGCTCACCCGATGTTTCCGATTCGCGGTGCACGTTTCCGGTCCGTCTGTCGCGTTATAATTCAATCGTTTACGATTCACGTAGCCACACGTGGTCCCGTGTGCAATGCATCATCGTAAAATCGGCGGAGGTCGGAACGAACCCCCTTATCATATCGAGCGTAATGCGATTCCCCTGGCAAAGAAGATTCCAAGCCATTCTCGAAGCTCACATAAATTTTTCCGACCAGCAAAGGGTATTCCTGTGTCGCAGCCTCGTTTCATCCGACCACCGACGTGGCAGTATTTTTGGCTCGGTTTAACGATACACAAATTCGTTGGTCCCGCGACGATTCCATCAGTATGGAAATCACCCGTGGAGATTTCGCGGCTGAATTGAAATTCCACTTCGAAAGTCGGTCGGTAATATCGCGTCGTTCCAGCTATCGAGGAATTTATCGCGAGGTTTTTCTAGCCAGCTTTACTTTCAAGCTTTATCCCGTTGGAAAAAGTTTGGATCCTGCTTAACCCCGGCTGTGCTACGTTTTTGCTAGTTGAGTATTTTGCACTTCCTTATGCTGTTGCGTTTTAGTTTGTCTACTGAAGGTGGACATCTAAAGGGAAGACGATTATGGGAATCATTGTATAATTGTCTATCATCAAATCCATAAATCATTAGCTGATTTGTTACCAAATCTGCCAATTATTAAGGCAGTAAAGATAACGTTAAATCTGTAAAGTTGTGAGATGTCCAAAGTAAGAACATCAAAGATATCCTCCAGTCTGAAGGTGGACATCTAAGGGGAAGACGATTATGGGAATCATTGTATAATTGTCTATCATCAAATCCATAAATCATCAGCTGATTTGTTACTAAATCTGTCAATTATTCAGGCAGTAAAGATATCATTAACTCTGTAAAGTTGTGAGATGTCCAAAGCAAGAACATCAAAGACATCCTCCTGTCTGAAGATGGACATCTAAAGGAAAAGGAAGACTATGGGAATCATTATACAATTGCTAATCATTAAATTCATAAATCATCAGCGAATAAATCTCTAAAAATATCAATTATTAAATATCAGCAAAGATATCATTAAATCTATAAAAATATCATTAAATGTTGCAAGACTTCCAAAGCAAGAACATCAGAAACAGACATCCTCGAAAGTGCAGACATCCTCCACAAGCAAAATAGTTTTTTGCCAAGAGAATCGTGCGTCACTACTTTTTGTATCGACATCTGACGTAGGAAAAAATCGATTAAGACATCATCAAGCCTCCATGGACGTCCATTAAGTCTTACACGATCCAGCAGGCTTTACGACGTTCGTCCGCTAGGTTTATGGCATCGATTTGTTTGCCAATCTATATGTCGCGTCTCGTCGTAAAGAATTCTACGACGATCATACAGAGAGTTATGTTACGATCATCCCGCGATGCTTTGTCGTTTGCCTAGAGATAGCCTATTGTCGTGGGATTATTATTCGCTTTACCTCGGCAGGATGTTTATCGACGTCGTTCTACGTCATCTGTCATTATGTTCCTTCGGGTAAAAACAATTTATATTTCCCTCCGAACAATGGCTGAGAGCTGCAGATTTTATTATGCGATTTTAAAGTTACATCTGATGTTTAAAATATTAGTTCTACGCTGGAGTTCCACGCGCCGTAATTCCACGCGCTCTAATTCCATGCGCCGCAATCCCACGCGTAGTAATTCCATGCGTTGTTATCTCACGCGCCATAATCCCATGCGGTGTAATTCCACGCGCTGGAATTCCATGCGTTGCAATTCCACGTGCCGAAGTTCCACGCGCTCTAATTCCATGCGCTGGAATTCCACACATCTGATGTTTAAAATATTAGTTCTACGCTGGAGTTCCACGCGCCGTAATTCCACGCGCTCTAATTCCATGCGCCGCAATCCCACGCGTAGTAATTCCATGCGTTGTTATCTCACGCGCCATAATCCCATGCGGTGTAATTCCACGCGCCGCAATTCCACGCGCTGGAATTCCATGCGTTACCATTCCACGTGCTGAAGTTCCACGCGCTGTAATTCCACGCGCTGGAACTCCACGCGCTGGAACTCCACGCGTTAGAACTCCACGCTCTGGTACTTCACGCCCTAGAACTCTACGCGCTGGAACTCCACGCGTTGTAATTCCACGCGCTGAAACTCCACGCGTTGGAATTCCACGCGCTGGAACTCCACGCGCTGGAATTTCACGCGTCACAATCTCACGCGTTGGAATTCTACGCGTAGAAGTTCCACGCGTTGCTGTCTCTCGCGCTCTAATCCCAAGCGTTGTAAGTCTACGCGCCGCAATCCCACACGGTAGAAATCCACGCGCTACAATCCCATGCGCTGGAATTCCATGCGTTGTAATTCCATGTGCTGAAGTTCCACGCGCTGTAATTCCACGCGCTGGAATTTCAAGCGTTGTTGACATCGAATGTCGACATCTTGAGTTCACATCTAATTCTGCATTTTAGGCCTGCATTACTTATGTGAACACTGTCTTCACCTTTAGATTTATTTTGTCAAATATTAATGAACTGTATATTAACAGTGAAGTTGTCAGAAATATTCCTTACCTATAATCATATTTTTATGATTTATTTTTGTATGATGTACGGAGTGAACTATTTGACTCCTCTTCAAATAGGCTTTTGATAAAAACAAATATTTGTATTATTGTACGGTGGAAATGAAAGAATGTTCTTCCTTTATAAGTCAGTCAAATCGTGCTGAGATTAAACAAATTTCGAAATAAAATTATATGTCATAGTTCATATAGACTTTCATTGAGTCTACCTAATATTTGGTCCTAAGTATATCTTAATGTATACTTATGAAAAACGAAGCAGACAATATATTAGAAATCTAAAATACGAATTTGAAAATCTAGAAAACGAATCAGGGAATCTAGCAAAAAGGAGAAATACATAAAGTCCTCTCAGATATTATATAAGGAAAGTACTTGAATCGGTACTAATAAAGTTAGGTGGTCCCATCGCGAAGCCAATACTCGAATCGATATCTACTTATGTGCAATCTACGATGTCATATACCGTTATATAATACAATATCAGTGGAAGGATCCCAGAAGAGCAGAGAGATTGGTAGACGCGTCGTTAATATCGGACTCGACCTACCTTCCAATTTCCCGTTGTTGACGAGCAGCGAATTGTTCGACTTCCTGGACGAATTCCGTGACATTTGGCTGTGACTCGGGCTGCTGTCTGTGCTCTTCTTCTCGATCACGTCGTGGCAGCTGTAGGATGTGTGCTGTATCGTCAGTATGGGATGAACGCTTCCTTGAAGCCCCGATGAAACAAGAGGATATTGCGAAGTGAGCGATCGAATGACCGAACACACGTAAGACGGAGCATTCTGATTTATCGAGTCCCGATTTACTGACAGAAAGCAACTAATGGACGCCTCGAAGGGTTCATCTTGTTTGCGACTGCTTTTGTCCTTTGATCACGATCAATCAGATACGCGAGCCGATGGTAAATCGACACTCTGATCGACAACGTTCCCGAACTCAAATACGGAACATTTGAAAGGTGCATTAAGGATCCGAAAGTTGGAAACTGATATTGTGTGTCAGGGGGTAATATGGTCAAATTGTTAGATAACAGTGCATCTTTGGAGGGTTAAACCGTAGTTTACATCGGTAAAGTAAATTGGGTATACGGAAATTATCTTGACTATCCTGTTCCAGTTTACCGTAAAGTACGCGGTACAGTGTATAATGGAAGTATATTGATTGCGTGCACTATTGCTGTAGACAGCTGTTACATTGACACGAATGGAGATGGATCGGATATTCGCTGAAGATCCGATCCTTGGTTATACGGTGCGTGATAATATTGTGTATGGAGATGTAACACGCCGTAATTCGAAGCGTCGGTATAACGCGATATAATTCGAGACGTTGTAATTCGATGAGCTGCAGTTCAATGCGTGGTCTCTGGGTGCGGTGTAATGCTATTTGGACGAATGCAGTGTAATTTAGGGTGTGGTGATGCAACGCGTTGTAATTCCATGCGCGGTAATTCCACGCGTTGGAACTCCACGCGTTAGAACTCCACGCGTTGTAATTCCACGCGCTGGAATTCCATGCTTTGCAATTCCACGCGCTGTAATTCCACGCACTGGAACCCCACGCACCGCAATCCCACGTGCTGGAATTCCACACGTTGTAATTCCACGCGTTGGAACTCCACGCACTGT